AACCCGGACGATTGACGCGGTCGTAGCACCCTCGGCAGAGTTTTAGGCATCCTTTGGCCGGAGGGTAGCAGAGCAAGCAAGGCAGGAACAAGGACATGGCTCCCATGCACAGGTACCTAGAACAGCAGTGTGACTGGGAGCAGGAGCAGGGATTATCCGCGTAAGAGTCCCCTTCATCGTCGTTGGAACAGTGGTAGAAGATCCCTTTGACCAGGCACATGCAGGTGCCGTACTCCACCATGCTCTCGGCCGAGCACAGGCACTGCCGGTTGCAGGCCAGGCAGGACGGCAGCGCCCTTGGCGCCGTGCACTCCCCGCACTTGCACTTCCCACACTGCTCGCAGATGAACTTGTGCTGCGTCAAGTCCTCTTTCAAAGGACCCTTCAGATCATCCACGATCAGAGACGACTGCTTGGGCTGCGCCCGGATTGTCCGGTCGGACCTGTGGCCGGAGCCCGGCCGGGACGGGGGTGACCGCCCCAGCAGCCCTTGCTCCGAGGAGGCGCTGCTGTTGCTCCCGGAGCTGGCCGCGCTCCCCGTGCTGGTCGACCGGCTCAGGACGGGAGCCCTCGTGCTATGCTGATGCGCCACGTGCCCCACATGGCTGGACCTGTGTTCGTAATTATTATTCACATTAATCGGTATAATCTCGTGAGTCCTTTCGTGCTTCTCCTGCCTCGGTGCTGTCCTCGGAGCAGACTTTTTCACCACAGACGGACCTTCGGTGTACTCGTTGCTGCCCCTGATGGCCTTGATCTGGTCCAGCGACAAGATCGTCGTGGGCTGGCTCTCCCTTTCGTAGTCCAAGCGCTGCCGGCTGTCCAAGGAGGGCTGCTGAATCACCACCACGGAACCGCCGCTGCCATGCTGACCTTGGGGCTCCATCTGGAGTGATCTCTGCTGCTGGCATTCAGCGGGAACCTGGCATGCATCTGAAACCCTGGAGTGAGAAGAAGATAGAAGGTGTAAATAAACACCGCGTGTGTACATGTCTACACACACACACACACACACACAAGATCAAGGGCAGAAGAGGGGTAAAGCACGGGAGACTTTCTGAAAACAGAAGTGATCTGGCAAAGCCCAAGCTGCCCGAGCCACCTGGTACTGATCTCTTTCAGCAGGGGATTACGGCAACGCTGAGGATCTGGCCAAAGTCCAGTAGTGGGGAGAGTCTGGGTATGGCATCATAGATGAGGAATGCAAAGGAGACCCCATGCCATTTTAAAAAAACAACGTTAGCTGGTATGCTTGCTTGGCAAGCCATGGGAAGTGCTTCTCCCTCGCTACTGAACTCAACATCTGCCTAACTAGCAACAGCAATTCCAAATGCCCCCCAAAACTCAATTGGAAACAGGCAAGAACACCATCCTGTTCATGTTCCACAGGGTAGAGTAAGGAACATGACCGATTCTCACTCTTCTCCCTGAATCTGCAGCATCAGAAAGCTCAACAGATTTGCTTCCTAGAGCATTTGGAAAGTCTCCTTCCTAAAGTGACGTATGTGCATTACACAGTCCTGAACTAAGTGCTGTCAAGTGGCCAAGACATTTTCTCTGAGAAAGTAACTCAGCCTACAGATCTAACAGGCTCCTTATAAAATTAAAGCAAGGGTGCAAACAACCTGTTTTCAAGTATTGCCTGACCACAAGCCAAGGTGTGAAAGAAAAATGGGGTAGAAAAGGCTAAGATCTAACTAGGTGTCAGACAAAAATGTACCTGAGGATTCATAAGAATGTTAAGAGCAGATAAAAAAAACCCCAACAACAACCTCAAAACACAAACAAAGAACAAATCTATTTTCACCAGACACATTAAAAGCTTCTCAAATAAATAGAACATTTCTAGTCTTTCAAATAGGGGAAGAATAGTAGGACTGTCACATATTTCTATCCCTTTTCATCCTCCCTAGGTGGTAACATGAAGATTGCAACGCTCACTCAGAAAGCTGCAGTGACAGTTCTGGACCTACATAGAAATTCAGCTGAGTGTTTCAATGCAACATTTATACAGGGAACCAAGGAAAAAACCCACGATTTTCTTTACTATCAGCCAGAGGAAAAGTCCCTTTTCATTCCCCTCCAAGATGTCATACCTGTTTACCTGAAAGCAGGGAGAGGTGCTATCAACCATTTCCAAAATTCATCCAATAATCCCAAGGAAGTGTCTTGCCTAACCAGACCCACAACCAGCACAGAGCTGTTCCCCACTCCACAGCACAGGGACGGCAAGAACAGGAAAGCTTCTTCTAACACAGTCAGCATGAACCGCGAGCGACAGCTTCTGCCAGGACACAAAGTCTTTGTGCTCATCCGGCACTCAAAGACTTCACTTTACATCTAGCGTCACCTGTGCGGGCTTTAGGGCCACCAGATTAAAAAAGAAAACCAAACACGCTCACTTCTAATCCATAAAATACAATCTCAGACCGTTTTGGGTTGGAAGGGACCTTAAAGACCATCCAGTTCCAACCTCCCTGGCCACGGGCAGGGACACCTTCCACTACAGCAGGTTACTCAGAGCCCCATCCAGCCTGGTCTTGGACACTTCCAGGGATGGGGCAGCCACAGCTTTTCTGGGCAACCTGTGCCGGGGCCTCACCACCCTCACAGCAAAGGATTTCCTCCTACCCCACACAACAAGCCGCCTTCTTCACGAGCGCTGAATACAAATCCACAACAGACCAAGGGTGAATGAATGCGAAAAGGGAAAGATTTACAGCTGTACCAGCCAGGAGCTGGGCTCCCCAGGGGATGAAAAACAATATCCCAAGAAAATGTGAAAGACATCCAGTGCCATCTTTGGGGGGAAAGCGCAACATCAACGCGGTGCAGACTGACAAGCCCAGCTGCAGACCGGGACGAGAGCTGAACCAGCCACCTCCACCCCCGCGCAGATCGGTCGTAAACCGGTTCCCCGCGGACAATAAAATAAAAATAAGCAAAACAGAATAATAAAACAACGTACGGTGCAGGTGGCGAGAGCCCTCACGGTTCTGCACCCGGGGCTGCTCTCCCTCCCCGCACACCTCTGGGGGTGGGATCCCCCTTCCCTTCCTTTCCCTCCCCTTCCCCGCACCCGCTCGGACACGCCGCCAGCCCCCCCCCGTCCCGCCCCGCTCCCGCAGCCCCGGGCGGGCGGCGGCGCGGCGCCCTCTGCGCCCCGAGCGGAGCGGATCGCGGCGCTGACGGAGAGGAAGGAAGAGGAGGGGAAAGGGGAAAAAAAAAAAAAAAAAAGTTATGAATGAAAACATGGGCGCCTTTTTTTTTTTTTTAATTATTTTTCTTTCCCTCCTTCTCTCCCTTCCGCTGGGGAGGGCAGAGCAGCACAGCCCGGCGCTGCCTCGGGAGGGCGGAATGCCCGGCGCTTAAAGCGGCAGCACCGGGGAGGGGGAGCGGCCGCTCAGCCCCGGGGGGTTCCCCTTCGCCGCGCTCCGGCACCCTCCGCCCCAGCCCCTCCGCACCCCGCCTGCCAGGAGCGCTTAGCGGGTGTTTTGGACCTCCTGCTCGTTTCCCAGCCCACCGCGGTGCCCCGCGAGCCCCTCCCGCGGGATCCCGGTCCCTGTATTTCGGGAGGGGGCCGGTGGGAGGGGGGCCGGGGCCGCCCCTCGCCAGGCGGGCGCCGCTGCGCCCCGCGGCACCTGCTCGCCGCGGCAGCGCCGGCCGAGCTGCGAGCGCACGGCGGGTCCCCCAACTTACTGATGTATCTGCGGGGAGTCACCGGGAACGGCAAATCCAGCGGGCGGGCGGGGGGCGGCGGGGCCGCGGCCCCGGCTCCTCGCCCTGCCGGCCCCGCGCAGCCCTCGCTCGCCGATTTCCACGTCCTAGTGGGCCAGCGGAGGGAAACCCCGCTGTGCTGCCCGGCGCAGCCCCCCTCTCCCGGGGGTCAGCATCAGCCGCCCGCCCCCGGGCTCGCTCCTCCGCGGGGCGCCCAGGGGAGCAGCGCTCTCCTTCGGCAGCGGGGCTCTCGGTCCGGAGGCGACGGGCAGCAAATCCAGCCCTTCCTGCAGAGCGGTGTGTCTGGATCGAGCCTCAGGCAGCGGCAGGCTGCGGCAGGCAGCGGGGCTGTTGCGATGCAGGTCTCCGGGAAGAGGCGGCGGGGTGCGCGGCTCCTGCTCGGGCTGTTTGTTCTCCTCGGCCGGTGAGCGCAGGGCTGCGGTCCCGCTCCGGCGCTCGGCTTCACCGCATGGTCCTCGCCGCAAGTCCCGTCTGGCAAAGTGCAACCACAACCCCTGGTGCGAGAAATTTTGGTTGTTTTTTTTTTTTTTCCCGTTTCAGTTTTTTTTGCCCCCTCCTTTTTTTTTTTTTTTTTTTTGCTTTTCTTTCTAAACCAACCACGAAGCTGCTCTCGCTCTCCAGAGCAAGCTGAGAACGCAGCCAGCGGCAGCGCGCAATGGCCCTGCGAGCTGCCTGCACGCAGCCATGTGCTGGCTGTCGCTGCCGGGGGCCGGGTGACAGGCTCGGGGCACGGGCAGGACGCGGTGGCCACGCACGCCGCAGCCCGGCACCGGGGGCTCCGCAGGCTCCCCGCGATCCCGAGAGGGTCGCGCCAGACGGACCCCTTCAGGTCGGGCGGGACGGGCAAAGGCACCGACCCGGAGGTTCTACATGGCCAGCGAATCGCGACCAGCTCGGCGCTGCTCGCCCAAAGCGGGGAGCCGACACCCGGCTCTCCCGCCCGCTGCCCCGCAGCGGGGCTCAGCTCTCCCCGCACCTCCCGCACGCCTCGCCCGGCGGCCGCCCCAAGCCCAGCGCAGCGCAGCCCGGGCTCGGGGAGGGAGCCTCCGCCGCCTGCCCGCCCGCACCTGACCCGGCGGGACGGGGCTGTGCGAGCGCCGCCCGGGCTTACCTAGGGCCGGGGTGAGCGCCCGCCTCCCGCGGCACATTGGCGGCGCGGATGCCGCCGGGGCAGTGCCGGGGCCGCTCCGCGCTGCCCCCGCCGCCGCGCCGGAGTGAGCCGGGCCGCGCCCCGCCGCTTTCAGCGCGCAGCCCCCGCCCGCCGCCGGCCGCGCCCCCCTGATGTCAGCGTGTCACCGAAATCCCGGCGTGGATTCCCCGCCCTCCCGCCGGGAGCCGCTCCCCGCGCCGCGACGGGGGCGGGAAGAAGGGGACCGGCCTCTCTGCGGGCTCGGCTCCCTCGGTGTCCCGGTCCCCCGGGGGCGCGGCCGGCAGAGGGAGCGCCCCGGGGGCTCGTCCCGGAGGTGCCCGGCCCGCACACGCTCCCGCAGCCCCCCCCCCCCACCGTGCGCCGGCCGGGCGGGCGCAGCGGCGCTGCCGCCGGGGCACCGCCGCGCAGGGGCTCTCCCGAGGGGCTGAAGTCCTGCCACGCTCCCCTGACAGCGCTGCAGAGAGATTCCGGTCTGTCTCTTACCGTCAGCGCCTTCCCGGCGGGACCTGGCCAGGTGGAGTAGCCACGCTTTAAAAATATTCACGAGATATCTTCTGCTTCTTTCAGCCCCGTCGCAGAGGCAGCTGAGCACCTCGGAAAGCACTTGCTCCTGTCATCCTTCCATGAGATAGGAAACGGCGCTTCCCACCGTGTTGCAGCTGGCGCTGAAGCACCGAGGGAGGGCACGGGTTATTTATCCTGTTGTCTTTCTCTCCCGCCTTTCCAGCCCAGCCTCAGGAAGGTCCCATTCAAAGCTCACCACTGCATCTCTGTCATGGTGCTGAAGAGGTACAGGGATGCCTTCCAAGTCATCAGTTTTATGGCTAAGTACTATCTCTGATGTTTTTGTGGGTTTTTTTTTGTTTGTTTGGTTTTTTTTGTTGGTTTGGTTTGGTTTTTTGAGTGGAATATTTTAAAGAACATTGGAAAATTATGTAAAGGACACCAAAATTCTGAGAGTTGTTTCATAACAACAAGCAAAGTATTGGAGAAGTTCAGGCTCCCAGTGCTTGGCTGAAAATCACTGCAGCCCCAACTTTATCTGAAACGTTC